ATAGATAGATAGATAGATAGATAGATAGATAGATAGATAGATAGATACATAGATAGATACATAGATAGATACATAGACAGACAGATAGATAGGCAGGCAGGAAGACAGGCAGACAGATATACCAACCTGATGACACAATTTATAATCTCCGAGTTTGGGAAGTAAATGCAGGCAGATCTCTGGGACTCACTGGCCAGCCAGCCTGGCTGAATTTGTAAGTTTCAGGCCATTGAGAGACCCTGTCTCATAAAATCAAGCTGGGCTGTACCTGAGGAACAATGCCTGAGGCTGACCTCTGGGATACACACACACACACGTGTATGTCCATGCTTGTACTCCGGCACCCATATGTGTACAGACACGTCAAAAGAAAAACCAACCGCACAGTATTTATTATTATAAATAATAATAAACCCATGGACAAACTAAGCATCTAAGAGCCAATAACAAGAAGTACCGAAGAAGAAAACCAACATTTGCTGGGGCTGTGCTGGCTCACTCTTGTGGTAGCATGCAAAGCCTCCTATGACGTGGGCTAGCCTCATCTCCCTGAAGCAGGATGAGAAGTCTTCAATGCCTTAGGTTGGTCCTTTAGTAAAGTATGTAAAGCAGAAGTGACAGAGCATTCACACATACCCAGGGTGCTCCAGGAGCCACGCCCATGAAGAATGTGGCACCCTTGAGGTCTAGAACCAGACAAGTAACAGGTTCGAGCCTTGACTCCACATCTGGATGTCTCAGGACCTTCAGCTTCATTCTATAAGCATCAGGGAGATGGCCTTGAACTGGATGAGGAGGCATCACTGGGTGGCTGGCCACTGTGAGCCATCAGCAGCTAAGTGAAAGGGTGCTCCAGGGGCATGGCTCTCCTGAAAGTAGACATCAAAGATGTCTTTTTTTTTTGTGTGTGTGTTTGTGTATGTGTGTTTGTGTAGGTGTTTGTGTATATGTGTGTATGTAGGTGTGTGTGTGTGCTTGTGTAGGTGTTTGTGTATATGTGTGTATGTGTGTCTATGTATGTGTATGTGGGTGTATGTGTATGTGTGTGTGTATGTTTGTGTGTGGGGGGATGTATGTGTATATGTGTATGTAGGTGTGTATGTGTTTATGTATGTGAGTGTTTGTGGATGTGTATGTTTGTGTGTGTGTATGTGGGTGTATGTGTTTATGTGTATGTAGATGTGTGTGTTTATGTGTGTGGTTGTATGTGGGTGTGAGTATAAATGTGTATATGTGGGTATATGTGTGTATGTGTGTGACTGTGTGTATGTTTGTATGGGTACATGTGTATGTATGTGTGTATGTGTATGTATGTATATGTGGGTTATGTGTACATGTTTGTGTGTGTATATGGGTATATATGTGCATGTATGTGTATGTAGGTGTATATGTATGTGTGTGTATGTGTATGTAGGTGTGTGAATTTGTGTGTATGTTTGTGTGTGTATATATATTTGTGTGTGTGTTTGTGTGTGTATAT